GTGGCGGCCCGCCACTGTGTCTTACCTAAGCCCTTCATTTCATAAACTTGGGTCCAAGCCCTGCTAACTTACATATGGCTCTGAGAGGCCAATGCACGCCTCCTCATTGAAAGAAGGGTGCAGATAAAGGAAATGCAGGACTGGCTGAAGCCTTAACACTTTGGCACGTTAGATCAATTCATACTTGAGCACATTGCTGAAAACTATGTGAGCAATATTAAGGACTTCTGAGGTAATGCTAACTGAAGTTATAGAATGATAGAATGATAGAATGGTTTGGATTGGAAGGGACCTTTAAAGGCCATCTAGTCCAACCCCCCTGCAATGAGCAGGGACATCTTCAACTAGATCAGGTTGCTCAGAGCCCCGTCCAACCTGACCTGGAATGTTGCCAGGGATGGGGAACCTACCACCTCTCTGGGCAACCTGTGCCAAGGTTTCACCACCCTCATTGTGTATCTGTTCAAGCCTTACATTTTCTTGTAGTAGTTCTGGTCTGAGAGAGAGACGAATGCATAATTGTACTGCAATTACCTGCATGGCTGTTCTTTTATAGCAAAATTTATGAGATTAGCCATTCTTCCCAATATTTAAGTACCATAGTCATTTAGTCATGCAACATAACATTTCTGTGATCTGCTGAATGATTTCTGTTTCTGGATTGTTTTTCTTCCCTGATTGTAGGCTTTTTGCATTAGAAATAAAACATTGCTAAGTAGAATTTAATGTAATTTTAAACATGGAAAGTAATGACAGCATGCTACAAAATTCATATCATCACGGATTACAGTTACTTGATAACTCTTTAACTTTAAAGGTGTCACTACATTCTTACAAATGAAGAAATATTAATTTTAAATTCCTGTGTCTGTTACAGACACAATCTACCTATATTCCACGTGAACAGATCACACAAAAGTCAACAGGACTTTCAGCAAGCAAACATGATGGCATAAGTGAATTCCAAGCCTATAGCACTCCACTGTGGTTAATGGTTCCCGAGTGCTCATGCACATTTTCTCCTGGACTGGGACCTACCTTACATTCATTCTTACCAGGTTGCCAAATAATTCACTATTTTCATTAAAAAGAAATAGATCAACCACTCCCTTATTTTTATTATAACCTGTAGGAGATGTACACCAATACATAAATATTATTATATGTTGTTGCTGGCATGATATATATATATATTAATTGTCCAACATACCAATATGATGGAAAAATAGATGTCACCACTCTTTTTGTCCACCTAGAAGCTTTTTTTGCATGCATAAAATAATTTTCTGAAATATCTAACTAACTGAATTTCACCTTTATATCATCTTTGTCATATTGTAGTTATTCATAAAACACACACAGATACAGATTTCTACATACCTGCTTGTCAAATGCTACCCAAGCAGGACTATCACTTCCCATCCCTTCAGGAAACACACTGTATTTAGGTTTCAGCTTCTGACCAGGTAATGGTTCACCTCCTATTCCAGGTTTATCTTCTCCAACCAGCATAGCAACATTATTGCAGTAATCCCAGTGCTGTGACTTGTGGAACTTTTCTTTCC